GGCAGCAGGAACAAAAATCCATCCCAATATTTTGTCCTGGAAAGAGACAGCTTGCTCCAGAGCTCTGAGGCTACGGCAGAACTCTGGGGAGGGAGGGATAGGATTTATTTACYATGTGCTCCAAAGCAGGAGAGCTCGACAAGAGACACTTGTTCTGAATTACCAGGCTCCCTCCTGGGATAGTTCTGCTGATAACATGAAGAATGTATTAAGTGAACATCAGAGATTAAAACAATCTGCTCCTGCCAGCTCCAAAACACACAGACCATTACTGTCATACCCAGAAATAAAGCCAGAATATTGGAAGAGAAAATTGAAAATAAATTGCCACCATGTCAGGCTTGGTTATCAGCTGCATTTTTTTTTTTTTTTTTGAGGGTGGAGGAAAGAAGTCTCTAGATTGTTCACTTAGACATGATGCAATCAGCTAAATAACCCTGAAGCAGCAGCAGCACTGAGCTCTGCCTATTCATTCACACCATTCTGTTATCTTTCCTGTTTATCTCTGAGGCACACTCAGCACCAGAACCAAGGTGAGTCTTTACAATATGACAAATCTACCGGTTTCCTATTTGAGAAGGTTCACAAGGCTTTTTGAGAAGCGCAGTGCAGATAACAGAGCTGTGGCAGTTAAATGTGGCACTGGACTGAAGGTGAGAGACTCTGGCCAAGGGCAAGCACAGACACTGCAGCTCAAAACAGCAGCTTCACCAAAATGCCCCATTTTTTATAATTCTTGGAGTGCCCAACATTCTGCAGCTGTGAACAATGTACAAGCCAAATTAATTAACAGGGAGAAAAAGTGTATCAATTTTGCACAAATTATGAGATGAAGTTTTGGCCACAGAAGTGCTTTTTGTAGAAAACTTAGGACATTTCTTTTTATCTGCTGCTTTTTATCTTAAGTCACTTTTTATCTTAAGTGACCGTGAGATTTTTACAGCTCAGCTTTTGGGAATGTTTTCTAAAAGTGAATTTTGAAATGTTTTTGCAGGGAACTCGAACAGGAAACCAGAAATCATGCAGGAGCCAGAGCACACTCCAGAGATTCTCTGGGCCTCTGGCACCACCTATGGATGACACGGAACTCTTGGAGCTGAGGAAATGCTGCCTGCAGAGCTCACTGACACCACCGAGTATTTTTTTTCCTTTTTCCCCTTTACTGTTCAAAAAAAGACCCCAAATGTAATGCACTTTTGCCACCCATGCAACTCCCAATAGGCAGCATCAAAATAAAACCAACAGGTAAGCAGTGTTTGTAAAAAATATATTTCCAGTTGTTTTTATTTCTTTAATTCAGGCACCTGTGACAGACATCACCATGCCACRGAGAATTTGCAGTTGTGTGGTTGCTAACAAAGTTAGTCACTATTGAGAGAGGGACAACATTCTTTTGTCTTCTACACACAATCACCTGGTCTGTGCATAAGCATTTCAGGTGCCAGGTACTACCAATTCCTACAGATATTGAGGAACAGCCCCCTCAAACCTCACCTGGGCTGGWGCAGATCCACAAGGGGGGTTCCTTAGAGGTCAGCCAGGAGCAGTGAATGCACACAAAAAACTGAGACTTCACTTAAATAAACTCCAGAATGGCTCAGATTATTGGCTTTTTGTGTGTGCATCAAAGAACAAGGCTGCTGTGAAGGTAATTCAGCTCAAGGTGAGGATTTTTCTTTCAGACAGCACAGTACAAGAGTCACAGTCTGGGAATGTCACTGCTTGGGGRCTGTGGCAGCAGCTCTTTGGATTCTCCAAAGAGGCACAGAAAGACAAATGTATCCCCGTYCGCACACACAGGACGCTTCTGTGTACAGACAAATAAAATCTGGAAGGTATTTGGCTGTGGAGGAGCCATCCTGCACTGAGTTATGTCCCAGTGGTGCCACTCTCAGTCCTGTCCCATGGCCGGGATCAGCCCCATCCCGGCGCTAATCGGGGATGGAGTCTGCAGGACACAGCAGGGCTGTGTGTGCCCCGCTCTGGATGATGGAGTAGCTCTGCTTGGGGCCCTCGCTGTGGGAGGACGAGAAGATGGGAGGAGGGGGAGCAGCCGTGGACACGGTGATGCTCTGCCCTCCATCGCTGACCACGGTCACCTCGGCGGCTCCGTCCTGGATCAGGGCGTTGAGCCCCTCCAGGTCGGAGCAGCTGATGCCGGAGCCGGCGATGAAGGCTTGGCTGGTGGCAGGCTCGTGGCAGGGGGTGGCCGCGGGGATCAGGGCCTCTCCCTGCTCGTGGCCGGCCAGCAGCACGGCCGGCTGGGCTCCCGTGGCCGGAGCCGGGGCCAGCACGCTCACCTGGCCCAGCAGCTGCAGGCGGCCACCGGCCAGCACCTCGTCCTGCGCCGCGCCCAGCAGCGCCGGCGGCACCACGTTCACCGCCTGCACCGGGGGCACCTGGTGGCCCACGATGATCTTCACCCTGCCCTCGTTGTAGGGRGACGCCTGCCCGGCCTGGAGAGGCACCTGCAGGTGGCTGACGGCGATGGGGGCGCCGGGCTGGCGGCCAGGATCCATCTGCAGCTGCAGCACGGCCAGCTCGCCGCCCTTGGCGCCGCCGTACAGGCTGTGCTGCTTCTTGTGGCTGCGCAGCGAGTCCTCCCGCACGAACGAGGCGTCGCACAGGTCGCACTTGAAGGCTTTCTTGGCGTCCAGCTTGGCCACCTGCCTGGAGCCGCCCTGCTTGGGCCTCTCTTGTCCTTCCTTCTTGTCCAGCGAGTGCTTCTTGCCCTTGACCTTGTCGCCGTGGGCTTTGCGCACGTGGGTGGTGAGGTTGCTGCGCTGCTTGGTGTCGAAGCTGCAGAACTCGCATTTGAAGGGACGCTCCTTGCAGTGGATCCTCTCGTGCACCTTCAGGGCTGCCTTGCTGGAGCAGGAGTAGCTGCACTCGGAGCATTTCACCGGCTGCTCGGGCTGGTGGCTGCGGATGTGGTGCCGCAGGCTGGTCTTGTTGCCGCACTGGAATTCACACTCGGGGCATTTGAGCGTGTTCTCCATGCTGTGCTTGATGCGGATGTGGGATTTCAGGTTGCCCTTCATGGCGCAGCGCACATCACAGAACTCACACTTGTAGGGYTTCTCCCCCGAGTGCACCCGCAGGTGCCGCTTCAGGTCCGAGTTGATCTTGAACTTAGCAGGGCACATCTGGCACTGGAAAGGGGCATCTCCTGCAACAGAACCCACAGCCCGGGTGACACACAAACACCAAAATCCACTGCTGGCATGAATTACTGACAGCTGCCTTGTTCTAAACTCCCAACGCCTTCTCAAGATTGAGAGAAATTTAATGACACAGGATTATCTCCTGGTCTGACACAACGGGATCTAAACCAATATTTTACATTTTCTCTATTTGCGGGATCTAAACCAATATTTTACATTTTCTCTATTTGCAGGCTGGTGTAACAGTACCCATGACCACATTAAGGTGGAGCTGCACTAATCCCTAATCAATTCCCGTGAGTCCGTTCTGAAGCCATTAAAAAAAATTCCCAAGCAAACTCCACAATCTAACTAAATAACTGTTCCCTTTCTTTGCTGTAATCTAAATATGTGGTCCTCTAAAATACCTGAGCATGCAGTCTTTAAGTAGGTATTATTCTGAAAAAGGGAAGAATCATGTTATTTCTAAGATATTCTTGGTGAGAGAAGAAAAAAGAAAGTGTATTTGGTTCAACAAGCATTTATCCTCTTTAATAATCAAACTGCAAATGGCTGATTTATTTTAGAAGTTAATATTTTATAGAGTTTGTGAGAGCTGTATAATTTTGCATAATTTGCTTATCCAGCTACATATGTCATAGGTTTAACTGCATATTTTTCAAATCAAGTTGTGGCCTACTGTGCTAATCCATGTATCTGTTTAATAATTGAGATACATGGTGCACTATCTATATTAAACAGACTTTATTAATGAAGATGCACTGTTTGTTCATCTAGTTTATTTTACAGCCTCAGCTGCACACTCAGCTGCTGAATTTTTATCTTCTTTGCTGATGRAGACACACTTCATATTTCAATGACTTAATTTTCATATACAGGATAGCACAATACATGAAAAAGAACTTCACTGGTTCTGTTCATAAGACTTTAAAATGTGTATTTCTTTACATTTCTGCCCATCCCTAACTGACACTGCTGAGATATAGATAAAAACCTGTGTCTGACCCTGGGATTATTAATTTTAAGAGCAGTTTCACTCAAATTAGCAGCAAGCTTACATTTAGATGATCAGTTCAATAAGTAAATCTGTGTAGATGACCTGAGCAATGGGGATTACCCTCCCCTTGCAGAGGATTATTAATTTAATTCCAGTAAGCAATATATTCCTCACACCAGTTTTCCTTTTCTCTTTTAATTGGTTGTGTGCTTAACAGCTTCGCAACCTAAGAGGGATGAAATTCCTGTGCCTCCTTTCAGCAAAAAAGAATAATTTTTGAGAAATAAAAGRAACAACAAAACTAGCCTGAATTTTAGCATAATTCAGTTGCTAAAGATGCAACAGAGTGATCTGCCATAAAGCAGAATTCGAACCATCATTTTTGGGCACCTGGACAGCAGAGCATGCCTGAAAAGCACCTCTATGATGCCTAAAGCTGTGGTTTTGATCCAGAGCCCACCTGTGTGCGAGCGGAGGTGCACGGTGAGCTGGCTGGAGTTGCGGCTGGCGTAGGGGCAGATCTGGCACTTGAAGGGGCGCTCGTTGGAGTGGATGCGCTGGTGTTTGTTGAGGCTGCTGCTGTCGGCCGCCGCGTACTCGCAGTGCTTGCACTTGTAGGGCTTCACGCCCGTGTGCGAGCGCATGTGCATCTTCAGCTTGTCCTTGCGGCTGAAGCACTTGCTGCACACCTCGCACTTGTGGGGTTTGTCTCCTGTAACAGCAGCAGTGTGAGATCACACGCTCAGGGTGTGGTGATCAAACAAACAAGCACAAATGCTGGCTGGAGAAGGGAGCGGTTTGTAGGAGCTGGATGTGAGGCTGCAGGGGCAGCTGCAACAAAGAGCAGAGCCTCTGCAGCCTCGTCCCTTTGCAGCAGAACTGGGAGGTGAAATCGTGGAATTGCTGAAGAGCAAACGAGGTTCATACACTCCCCACCACACTGCACCCCAATAAACACACAGTGTGCACTCAAAACATTCCCACCACACTGCACCCCAATAAACACACGGTGTGCACTCAGAACACTCCCACCACACTGCACCCCAATAAACACACAGTGTGCACTCAAAACAATCCCACCACACTGCACCCCAATAAAAACACAGTGTGCACTCAAAAATGTAACTGTGCCTCAAATCAGCTTCCAGTGTTCAACTGTCACAGCTGTGCCTGGTACTGCCCAGAGCAGGGAATGGCCCCAGCAGGGCAGTTCCTCAGGCACAGGACAATACTAGAAGGTACAGACATGTGTACATCCTATTTACAGGAAAAGGGCTTTTGTGGAAAAGCTAAAAAGAGGGAACCAACCCAAAAGAAAATATAAGAACAACATCAACCTGTGTGTGTTCGCCGATGGCGTTCCAAATCCTTCATACCATAGGAAGTCTTGAACTGGCAACCTGACAACAGGAAGATAAAGACCATTAAAAGCAAGGAAGACGTAACAAAATAATAAAAATACATTACCATATTCTGGACATGATGTTTATTTTCAACAATATTTTCTTTAAAATTCAGTGTTAACAAAAAATTAATTCCTAACCTTGTTTGCTCACATTTGCTTAAAAGAGTGACCAGCTTACCGGTGAACTTAAGTTTTTTAATTCATCCTCTTGGAGGCAACTCCCTCCTACCCTTTTCTGTCACCTTTGGAACCAGTTCTCTGGAACCCGTGCCTAGGATCTGAGATGCTCTGTACAGTACCAAGAGGATGCTGGAGGAGCTAATTAATACCACATAAGACTCTAAGTCATGCAAGTAACTCAGGTAACAGTTCCCCATCCAGGAATTCTGTTCAAGTGGAAGTGCTGCAGTTCTAGAGCACAGAAATGAATCCTCCACATCAGGAATGTGCCTTTTATTCAGTGGTGTGGGCTGGGGGCAAGGTGGGGATTGGCCACAGGTTGGAATCGATGGCTTGGGAGGGCTYTTCCAACCCAAATGATTCTGGGATTCTGTGAAATCAACACCAGGTATCAAATCTCTGTGTGTCACTACAGGAAAGCTCTCCACGTTAAAATGAAAAGGCAGAAGGTACAATCCCCATCTCACCTGGGTAGAGGCAGCTGAGTTTCTTCAGTGRCAGTGAGGAGGAGGATTTCTTGGACCTTGCTTTTGGTGGTGTAGGGACGACAGCAGCAGCTGGAGGCTCYGTGCTCTCGCTGGGCAGGTAGGTTTGGTAGCCATGCTCAAAAACAAACTCTGGGGCAGAAACTAAACACACAAAAAAACTTCATTAGAGAGCACTTAATCAGAAAAAGAATTCTAATTATTGTCTAGTTTAATGAATTCTCTATTCTGCTTTTTTTCAGCAACATTCCCGTTCCTGGGTTCCTATTTACCTGGAGGAGGAGGAAAGGAAAAATCCTTTTCTCTTCCAAATACCAAATAAAGATATATTTGTTTTTTCACTCCAGCTGTGTTATAGCTCAGACTAAAAAAAAAAAATTAAAAAAAATCATTATTTATATGGCAAATGTTGYCAAAAGGGATCACCCAAATTATTTTTATAATTGTTCAAAAAGTTCAGCCTCTTTCAACTCTACTGCTTTTAGCTGTTACTCACAAGAATAACAGGTGAAAATATCTCAGCCAAAGTAGCAGCTTTTAAATCAATTAAACWACACTATACCCCAAAAGGGCAAATGGATAGAGCTGTCCTCATTTTAAAGATGAGTAAATATGAAGCAGAAAAATGACTCACCCAAAACTCACASTGAGTCGAGGGATTATAATACAAAAATTCCTGGAAGTGAGCCCTGAATTCAGTTTATTTCACTGCTCTTCCAGATTCTCTGCCTTAATCTGTCTATCTGAATTAGAGTCAAATAATTTGGGGTTTAGTTAAGGTCCCACACCAAAATAAAACAAAACTATATATAGAAGGGCAAACCTTCATACAYGGAACAAAATCCTAACTTTATTTAAATGTCTCCGGGATCAGGACCTCACTTGAGTCTTCACACAGGCAGAAATTTTGAGTAATATTTTTCCTGTCAATTAGTTGTGGGAGCAATGTTAGGGAATGTAGTGTTCTCACATAAAAGGGTCTGGATTGGTGCCTGACAGCAATTCTGTGTCTGTTTTCCATCAAGAGCACTCTTAAAAGAAAATAAAATGCATAGTAATTCCAGCATTTTTCACAAGTATTGACAATTTTAATTAATTTGCACGAGCTGGTTACACAACACAATAGACTCCAGCAATTCTCTGAGAGAACTTGTACCTCAATTAGCAAATTAAGCAACTATTGTTATAACAAACCCAAGAAGGCAGCACGGTACTGTTTTGTTGCCTTGAAAGGCCAGTTTTTAATAATGACACAGACACGGTTAAGGGGATAAAAAGGGTTTTACCTYGGTATTTGGGATCCCAGGTGCACAACTTGATGGCAGAATGCACCCCCGTGTACAGCACGGGTACAAGTTTTATAGGTTTCAGGAATTAGCATATCTATCTAGGATTCCCCAATAAGAAACTTAACAAATGCAGTAATGTCCCCCTATTCTAATGAATCCCACCCCACAGATGAGGCCAGAGCCCAGTTTACACAAGATGTTCTGGACAGAAGGCTTCACCCAAGGCTGAGCTCAGGTTTAAGATAGCACAGGGCACGCTGAGCCCTTCCTMAGGATGTTTGGTCTCTCTGCCCAGCAAAACGCCTAAACTAAGCTGGAATATCAAGCTTCAGGAATTACAAGCATGCGGGCTAAGGGGTACAGGCGGATACATAGGGGGTACAGAAGCGTAAAGGGAAAAGCAAAAATCATCAGGTATCAGTTTAATTCCTCGGCTACACGGTGAGCGATGTGAGAACTGTGATTGAGGATGGGTGCGGCAGAGGCAGCGGGCACAGTGCCACCACCATCAGCGGGTACCTGTGATGGTTTGTGTCTCCGAGGCAATGCTCCTGCCGCTGCTCTGAGCCGGAGTGYTGGGCACGGTCTCCTCGGACACGAACTGCACGGTGCTGGCAGCGCTGGCMGCGGCACTGGAGAGCTGGCAGCCGCTCTGCTTGTGCCCCACGAACGCGTCCAGGTTGTTGAACTGCTGCTTGCAGATGCCGCAGATGTGGATGTCGGGGGTCAGCTCCACCAGCACCGTGGTGCTGCCGGGGACTGCGGGGACACGGCGCGGTCAGCGGGGCACGGGGATGGGGGACAGCAATCCC